ATCATGAATAGAAATCATACCTCGCACCAAACTAGCTGACCTCTCAGCCTCTTGCTGAGTCACTGCATATACTCGGGCAACTGGAGGTGGGAGAGGTAGAGATGGTTCCTCAACCACAATAGGAGCCGGAGTGGCCTGAATAGTAGAAACCTGTCCCCCATTAAAGGGGCAGTCCCTAATAAAATGCCCAGGTTGGCCACATTTGTAACACAATCTTTGCTCTTTTCTGCAAACCCCAGCATGAACTTTACCACATGTAGCACATAGAGAAGCAGGCTTAATATTTCCAGGCTTAGAATTTCCCGCCTTTTTGAACTTACCATCAGACTGTCTAACCTGCAACCCTTTTCCTTTAGAATTCCCAGAAGTGTTTTTAGGACCAGAATTAGGAGCAGATTGGTCCTTATGCTTCCTTCTGTAATATTCTTGAATATTTTTACACTTTTTAACAAGTGCAGCAAAAGTATCAAATGAGTCACCTGCAAGTTTTTCAGAGATGTTATCATGTAATCCTCTATGAAATTTAAAAATCAAGTCATCCTCTGTAGGTGGAGCTCTCTGGAAATGAGAGTATTTGGCCAGCTTATTGAACTTATTCAAGTATTCATCAATAGACATCTGACCCTGCTTTAGTTCTTCAAATTCACCCTTCTTCCTTATCCGGGCTTCAGCCGGAAAGTATTTCAGCAAGAATTGCCTTTCAAATAAAGGCCAGGTAATAGCATAACCCTGACATTCCAAGGGCAGACGGGTATTTCTCCACCAATCAGCTGCATCATTCTGCAACATATAAGAAGCATACAACAATTTCTGCTGATCATCACACTCCATGACAGTAAAAATGCGATCCAATTCTTCTAACCACTGAATTGCAGCAATAGGATCAATGCCTCCTTTATAATTTGGTGGTGCATGTTTTCGGAAGGCATTTAGCATTCTTTCTCTTTGCTCTCTGTTAGTGGCTGGCTGTGCCACACCACCCCTGTGACTAGATTCTTCATTCACATCATTATTTCCTTCACCCTCCACAACAATGGGATTATGAGGAGGAGGAACAGGCTGTTGTGGTTGTGGCTCAGGCTGTGGCTGTTGCAAGGGCTGTGGCTGTGGACCTTGCCCACCCGCCCTCACCTCAACCAAGAGTAATCTCATCATTTCAATATTCGCCATTCTGCTTGCTGCCATCATTTCTTGATTGGCCAACCTATTAGCCTCTAACAGATCTTGATTTGCTTTCATCATCACTTCTAGCTCTCGCTGCCTAGCTGCAGCCATATTTTGTTGCATCTCAGTTAAGGCCATTATCATTGGATCTGGCTGTGAAGTATTTCCCCGCGGGTTAAGTCGGGGTCTTGCCAAATCTGCCAATATTGGATCGGTCGGGTCAATAGGAGGATCAGAAGTCCTTCTTGGGCGAACCATAATTCTGCATATTTCACACAAAGGAATGAGTTAGCTACGCTCACACTCGGTGATCAGACATGCATATCATAGTATTCCAAGAAAAACTCAAGAATATAACAACCCGAACAGTTCATGCAATATTTCACAGGCTCTTCTAGAGAAACTGCTCTGATACCATAAATGTAACATCCCCGTCTCGAGCCGGTTCAATTAACATACATATGATAAAACAGAAAACAGCGGAAGACTTAACTTACGAAAATATGAGCTAACTTTTTCTTTTTCTAACTTAATTCTTTCTCGGCGTAAACGAAAATCGGGCAGAGTTTCCTCTATAATTCGGACAACTGGGGATTTTCCAATCCCACTCGGAAGCATTTCCTGATAAACAGTTTATACAACATATCAATTCGGAAATACCAGATATCCAAATATAATCGAATACCCATACATGGGCGCATGCATAACATGGCTCCGTGCCACTAAATCTAACAGCATGCCATCAAAACATAAACCTATCTGAATACTACATCATCATATAACGTTCCTGAATACTCAAATGTACATGCATCAAACTGATAGACATGTACAAAACATATACAGGCCATATACAAAATAAAGGATCAATATCATGATCCATCAAATGCGAAAATACTAAAATCCATCAAACACTCCAAAAAGGTAGTAGCCTACAGCCACTCAAAATCCGGTCTGTCAACTGCCTCAGCCACGTGTCGTGTCCCTGCCTAGTGAGGACTCACCGGAAATCTGGGCCCCTGAAAATATGTCCCCAAAGAGGGGTGAGATTACAAATCTCAATAAGCTCCAGGTTTATAGAGAATTCTCCATACCCCTGGCTCACTCCTGCATGAAATTCAGATACAGAGTATACAAATACAACATATAACAGATATCATAACAGAACAGAGCATATATCCATATCATATCAGAGATGTGCGCCGTCATTCCCAAGGGAGGACCCCAAGCGGAAATCAACGCACGTGTTCCCGAGGGAGGACCCCAAAGCGGAACCAGACATATCAGAGGAGTACACCATCAGTCCCGAGGGAGGACCCCAAAGCGGACGTCCGGGTACTATACAATCAATGGCCAGAGATTGTTTCAGAAATCAAATTACAGAAGTCACATCAGAGCAAAACATATCATGTTATCAAATAACTCTATATGAATGCATCTATACAAAGCATCTAAATCACAGTCATACAGTCCAACCATAGTTCACTAACCATGGTGGAGCACTCAAGCAGGAAAAGACTCCTTAAACATAGAGCTTACCTCTTGAAGCTTTACCAATACGCTTACTTGTGGAACAAGTTACTTTTATCGCTTCAAGAGATTTCCGATCCTTCTCAATCCCTAGGCACACCTAGAGAATAATTTACAATGCATCAATAAAATGATGCAATACCATAATTATTTCATAAGCATACATTTTATCGCTTATTTTCCTTTCTTTGCATTTTTGCCAATCCTATGCCAATACACAAGTCTAGACCTCTTTATAACCGTTGGTGTTCTTTAATTTAATCAACCATTCCCTTAGGAATTTTCAACATAAATCATGCTATTTTTCTTCAAAACTCATCACCTTTATACAATTTATTACAACACATTTTATTTAAAATAAAATGTACAAAATATATCCCTAAATACCCTATAGGTTGAATCCTACAAGGGGAATTTCCAAAGATCCTTCTCTTTTACAATGCATTTTCGTTACTTCATTACAACTTGAAAACACCTAGGAATGCTTCCACTAAATTCCTATTTTGAGTTTAGACACCAAGTCCTTTTTTTACTTAGGCATTCTTACTAACTCATCCATTTTCACTCATTTCCAACACACTATACCTTCACAATACATAATATAATTTTTTCCACAATAACTCCTACTCACTCCATGATGGCCGAAACCTAGGAGGAAGATGCAATAGGACTTTTAAATTTTTATATCACATGTGGATGCTTACTCAACACTATAACTTCCTAAACAACAATAATCCATCATAAATTTCACATTCTAACATCAATTATTTCCCAACAAAATATGCTCATCAATTTCATAACTTAAATCATCAAAATAATATCATGGAAATAGAGGTTTCTTACCTCTAAACACTTGTAGAAAGCCTAGAGAGCAATCTCCAAGCCAAGCTCCATCCAAAAACTCACTTTTTCTCCTCCAGTGAATAGTAACTCGAAAATGAGAGGAGGAATAACTCTTCACACACTCAACTATAGCTCAAATGGATAGGTGGAATGGATTCATTGAGTGGTTTCCAATCAATTTCATGTGGTGGGTCATTGGATTTGGTGGATGGATGATGAAGAAATCAAAGAAGGAAAATTTGAAACCCTAGCCCCTTCCCCTCCATGTGCAGCTCGGCCATGCAAGAGAGAGAAGAAGAAAATCTGAAATGAATAGTGTTTCATTTAAGTGACAAGGCTATATAGGCACATGTGGCCATTTTCATCGGATGTTTTTTTATCGCGTATTTTAACTTAAATTGACCCGGAACTAACTCAAAGCTACAAACATATTTTTTATTTCCTAAAATCATTTACATTAATTTTTTATTTCCTAAGGAACAATATTCATAATTCACAGTATGGTTTTTGCACCGTTTTTGACGAAATGCACTGTGCATCACTAATTGTACTTCCTTTACTTACGAAAATTAAAACTTATAAACTTATCATTTTCTTGGGCCTATATTGACTTGCTTGGCATATATTGGACTTTCTTATTCTTATTTCATCAATTATTTATTTCTGGACTCTACCGGTTGCTTAAACAGCAGTACAAAATACCCGGTAGAAACACTATTCACGAGATTTTCACGGAAAGTGCCAGACTATACAATTTTTCGTTCTGAACTCATATTTGTCATCAGAATTTTCAAATTATGTTCCTAAAATTATTTTGCTCATTTTAAGCTCTACCGGTTAATTCACAAAACTGTAAATTCTCCGGCAGAACGCACTGTTCATAACATAGTCATGATTACAGTCAAAATACTCGAAATCGCTCACTGAATCTAATTATGGCATTTAAATCCTTAAATTAAATCTCTAACTAAGATTTACCAGTTAGGGTCATTATAATACACATGTGGATCCTGAAGTCTTTTTTTTAAAAAATGCCAGGATCCGTCGGCAGATCCTAATGGAAATGTGTTTGCTGCAAAATTTCTCATCTGCAGCGACATGAGAAGCGAAGAACCCTTTAATTAATGGGAGTTGCCACGTTATCCATTTTTTTTTTATCAAAAGTATTGGTATCCTAACCTAATTAGTTATTAAATTTTTTATTACTTGCTGCTTCTCAATTTTTTGAGCAAGTATAACCAACAACTAATATTTAACCGCTAATATATATTGTTGGAGTATTCAAGTGTGACGAGTTCCACATTGGTTGGTAATGGACTAAGTGAATAGTATATAAGTGGAAGGACCAATTGGGCCTTAAGGTTTTGGGTTGAGATGTGGTGTTGGACCCACTTGGTATATTTCGGCTAGCTTAGCCCATTGGTGGTAGTCCCCCCACCACGGACTTTTTCTGGACCCGCCTGACATATATGAGCTTTTCTATTTAAGTTAAAGGAATTTTTTGAGGGGACTGTCAATTGGATGTCAACAAAAGTTACTGACATGGAAATAATGCAGTGTGCATGGAAAAGTGGAACATGTAACAAAATCTACAAAGCTGTTAGATATAATACAGAAAAAGGGTACTTACATGAAACAACATTGACGTGGCTTTTTCCTCTTCTCCTGTTGCTTTTGTGGAGGCTTGATGACCATCCTGATTGCAGCATCAAAAACTGACTTGACATTCTGCAATTGCATAAGGAATAAATTCATTTCAAGCACAAGTTCTGATAAAACCAAGTAGTTATCTTACTACAAAGAAATGATGAAGACTATCTTGCAAACAAAAACTTAGAAATCAACATATCGTTTTGCATCAAATATCATGTTCACACCCCATATCAGTATCCCATTAGGGTGAATTGGCATCTTTTGCATATTGCCTCAAGAGAACTGAACTTCCTAAAGCAACACAAGGGAATTACCGCTTTTGGTCAGAACTGTTGCATGATTGATTTAAATTATTGCAACTTCTACACACCACCATATTTTATTTAAAAAATAAAAATATTTACATTCCTCATTACAGGAAGTATAATCTCTCAACCACCCACTGGTGAAAAATTCAATATAATCAATGGCGGATCTTGCACAAAATTTTTAGGTGGCAAAACAATGTTATATCTTAGTTGTTTTTGCCTTTGGATTATGTTCTAAAGAACTAACATCAATTATATTGTCACACTAGCCTCTAACTTAAAGCATCAGTTGTTTAATGTTTGTACTCTACTATTAAATTTGATAATAAGCATATGAATTCCAATAACTTGAAATATTCTTTTTTTATTATATATGATCAATCATTTTTTTTTTTGTGTGTGTGTGTGTGTGTGTAGGAGAGGGGGGGGGGGGGGGGGGGGGGCGCTAAACATATGTAGCTGATAGCCACATTAAAGTAACAAGAAAATTTTAGCTAAAAAAACTATATGGAATGAAAAAACTTTACTCATAACTCAACTAGCAAAAGTGGAACAATTACATATATGAATCTCAATGAATGTGTTATTAACATTATCATCAAAGAAAATTTTACTAATAAATTATTAGCATACTTCTTTACAAACACAGGGACAATAATATATTTTTACACAACTATATAGATAGAAATCATAGAATACAAATTAGACCAAATTATGAAAAATGATGAAGCATTACATAGTGACCTACACAAATAAACATACGTATATGAAACTACAGGAAAAAAAATGAGAAAAGGGAGGGGGGAGGGGCACGGCACCCCTTGGTCACAAAGAAATCCGCCACATACTTAGTTTTCTTAAGATGACAATGTTGGTATTTTTCCATATATAGCTTGAAACATTGAAGAATTGCAAGAATAAAAAGGTAATATAAACATACCTGCTGAGTTTTTGAGCTGCACTCAATATAATATGTAGCTCCAATCTCTTTACGGAGTTCCTCACCCTGGATATGAACAAAAGCCAACAGTTTCAAAAATCACTGCATGTTGAACTATATACACAGCAAATAAAGGAAGATTTGTACTTGCTCAGTAGTCACAGTCACTAGGCCAGGATGATCAGCCAAATAGTGCTTGTCTTCTCGGAGATCTGCATTCTCACCATAAACAGTGTTACATGCAAACGTCAGTAGCCATGCTAATCAAACTACCACCATACATAAAAGATAGATGTCCAATTTTTTTTTAAAAATATATATAAATGATTAGTGGTCATTAATTTACTGCCATATTAATAGTTTGCATAAGATCTATTTTGGGATATACTGAAGTCAAAAATAGCAAAACTGTTCAACTATCAGTGCAGATAAGTCTTCCAGATGAAACAGAAAAGATAGAGAAATTTATTTAATCAAAACATTAAGTTCTCTAAAGTAACAAATGAATCAACAACAAATTGAGGAGGGAACCATATTAGTTGTTGACATATTCAATTGTAATTGTGCTGCTCTTTATTGCCATAGTTTGTCTCTCTCAACTCCAAAGTAACTTTCTTCCATCCAACTGAGTAGAAATATTAAGTTGATGGTCAACATTCAACATTATGAAGCCTAATTGAAACTGAGTCATTCATGAAATCTTTTTGTGATATTGCCATAAGCCCATGAGGCTTCCTCCTCATGATCCAAACTTCCTTCTTCTTCTTTTTCTTTTTGTTGAAATAGCTTGAGACTTCCTTTGTGTGAGGGTTGATATTACAAGAATGAATTAATGAAAAGGATAAGAATATTCAAGCTACACCATGAGAATAGCCTTTAAAGCTTATAGTACCAAATGTGTTTTCTTTACTCTAATTAAAGTAGATGGCATCAACAGTATAACACATTGCTGCAGTATAATGATTTTCTGTCAAGCAAATCTGGATACAATTTCCTTAGCGGATCATCAACATGTGATAAAGTAGATGTAAATTAAATCTGCCTTCACTATAACAGATGCGTGGACAAGTTCAGAGGTATGCTTGCCCCAAGATTATATATCCATTTAACATGAATGGCAACCTTGAGAAAAATTTTGCGACAAATGAGTTTAAAAATGTATGTATAGTTCGTCTCAAAACTTTGTGCACATTTTTAATGAATATGTTACAAAATCATGTAAATCTTCTATGCAGAATGAGCATATGTTTCAATATAATAAAATACTAGTTTAAGATTCTAATCAAAGAATACAGGCTAATGGATATGGTTCTAGCATCAAAAGGGAATAGTAGATAAGTTCTAGCCTTCTAGAGCCTCATTTACTCATATTTGGGTCATGGTTTATGAAGAATTTGGCAGAAAAAATACATACAATCAGAAGACAAATTAGCATGAGGCTAAGAAAATTATTAATACAAGTGATTGATAACTTACCCAATTTGGTGCCAACTAGTACCACTGGGATGCCAGGTGCATAATGCTGAAGCTCAGGGATCCACTGAACAGTGTATACAGATTAAAGAATAAAAGATAAATCTGCAAGACATGTCAAAGTGCGAATTCAGAAACACAAGCATAAAGCATACCTTCTTCAACACATTCTCATAGCTAGCGCGACTAACTAAAGAAAAAGCCAAGACAAAGACATCAGCCCCCCTGTAGCTCAAAGGCCTCAACCTGTTGTAATCCTCTTGCCCTAAGGAATACATTGGAAAAAGAATTGAAGATAAACAACCTTTGTCATTTGACATAATTCTATCAGGCACACCATAGTTTAAATTTACAAACATTTTTCATTTTTATGTCTTTATAACTGATAAAAAAAAGTACAATAACAATTCTGTGCAAGTATACCAGCTGTGTCCCAGAGACCCAAATTCACAGTTGTGTCTTCAACGACCACATTTGCACTGAAATTATCAAACACCGTGGGAATATAGTCCTGATGACCAACATAGGGGAAAAGCAAAATCAGAGTACAAAACAAAAGCAGAGAAAAAAAAAATCAGCAGAAGCTAAAATGGTGGAACCAATATAACAAATGGGTTACTTCTGCACTTTACATACTTCTAACAACAAAATGACTACTGAGTTACAATATTGCCTCCTTCACCCAAAACAAAAACACACATACATAAAAGAAGTTGCTGTTGATCTCAACAAAACTGAGAATTCAGGATGGATATACATACACATATTAAATCATTAAAAAATAATAATAGTAATGAAAAACAAAGGATAGCAAAAAGTCAAATACTTTAATTTGGTCTCTTCAAAACAAAAAAAAATATGCCACAAAGAATCCATACCGTGGGAAATTTATTGCTAGTATAGCAAATGAGCATGCAGGTCTTCCCAACAGCACCATCCCCAACTGTCACACACTTGATGAACTTTGAGGAAGTTGTAGACATTGGAAACAACAAAAGAACAAGAAGAAGAAGAAGAAGAAGAATCTCTCGGAATAATTTAAACAGAAAAAGAAAAACAAAACATAACAAATACAAAACAGAAGTGAGTGTTTTGTTAGATTTTAAAGCTTGAAGCTTTAGATTGAACCAGAGAGAGAGAGAGAGAGAGAGAGAGTGGCGGCACTTCACATGATTCTCACTCATTCAGTCCTTGTTGTAGCTGCTATGTACTTTTCTTTCTTCTTTAGTTTTTTTTTTTTAATATTTTTCCTTACAAATGCATTTTTTTTCTCTCCTTTCAATTTTTCTAGTCTTTTTTATTTTATTTTTGGTGAGGTATAGTCCTTTTTAATTTCCTACTCCGAATTAAAAAATAGAGATCAATATTGAGACACAATCACAATTTTACTTCCTCTTGAAGTAGTCCTTATAAATTTTCAATTTGGAATGAGAAGTTTTTAAGCTTTCTGAAATTTACAAACTGGTTCTTTAGTGATTACATATAGAAAAATCGTACATCACATAACTCTTATGTATTTATTGACAGTTAATGGCCTCTCATTAAACATTTTTATTTTAAAAAAATTTATTTTTTCTTATTTAATATAAATTTTAAATTAGAGATTAAATTAAAAGAGAGTGATATGCATCGATAAACATGTACAAATCCCATGATGAATGATTTGATTTAGCTCATGAACAAAATGATGTGTTAGGCTTAAAATAATTGAAGCATCACTTACCCGGATCCAAAAGGATCTTTGTGTCTATTTTAGGGTTATGTTTGTTTTACAGAAGCCGTGGATGAGATGGATCAAATGAGAGATAGAGAAAGAAAAAAGTTATTAGGAAATGTTTTAAAAATTGCTGGAAGTGGATTTATTTTTGTTGAATCTTTTTTATAGTTCGATAGATAATTTTATAAGTCAATAATTTTTTTTTCATGTTTAAGAATATAGTTAACCAATATGTTAACGAACCGATTATGGGGTGGTGGTTCCGCTTATGGCGTGAAATGAAGACGTTCTAAAAATAAATATTGAAATCTCGTTGATCTCATTAGTATCATATCAAATTTCATCAATTCATTTTTCATATTTCGAGAAAGAGTATCTCTTATTTTTTAAAGGGGTTTCGAAATTTGAAAAAAATATTTGTATTTTTAAAGTACTAAATGATAGTTTGATTGTGCATTTTTGCATGAACCACACAAAGCAATCAAATTATTAAAATACGAGTGTATACTTTTGTTAGGTCACGTCTAATATCATGTAGGAAAAAGAGGCATGGTCATTCAAGCAAAAACGAACTCACTTGTAAGGTGCACAGTACTATTGTGAGTCCATGCATGTGTAATTAATAAATCATAAATGGAAGTCAGGTTTACCCTCTCATTTTCAGTATAAGGCGAGGAAATTTATATTCATTCACAATAAATAATACCATGCCACGATCATATATAATCCCCTGAAAATTGGACAATTATGAAAATATAGTCAATATGGGTTGGCCTAGCTCCGAGTTAACTTGTTTCGTTTTTAAAAAAGAGTTGTGCAATAGTAGGCCCAAAATCTTTATCATCATTTATATTTCTCCTTCTTTAAATTAACATAGTATAATATATATATTTTTTCAATAAATTATAATAGAGATCTATTTATCTCATGTTACATGGAATAATTATCTCATGCAACAGAAATAAGATAATGGAGTTCACCATTTTAAAAATAAAATAAAATTATGGACCCCACGATTTTGTTTCTATTGCATGAAATAATTATATCACGCAACATGATATAATCATTTACCATTACAATAATTTAATAAACAGAAAATTATTTCTGCATATGTGGCGGAAACTATTTTTTTACCACAGACACAAACATCTGAGAAAAAAAAAACCATAAAAAAAAAGACACTAACATAAAAGCTCACTCTTGTTTTGTGCCTGTGATAGAAAAATAATGTGATGCGGAAATAATTTGTTTGTTAATAAAGGAAAAAGTGTGTGTCATTTTTAAGGACGTAAAATTATGTCATTTTACGTGAGAGAAAGAGATAGATTATGTGAGTCCCACCTCTTTGTGAAAGTGAAATGACAAGTTGTATCATCTAAAAGTACAAAGACTCTTTTCTTTAATAAATCTTCTCATTTATTATGTCAGGGTTGAACGTTATTCTTCCAACTATCTTCTTTTATCAAATGATAAAGAAAAGCAAACAGAAGTCATTATCGGTTGGCCACCCCAGCATATAGGTTCGTTCATTCAGATAGCTAAAAGGCTTGTGCTTTATTAGGAGAGAAAAAAATGGGTAAACTACGAATTAGTGCAGGCGTTGAAGGGTCAGTTGGTGTTGTTGTTGTTGTTGGAGTTTTAAGAATATACAAAGGATTACGCAACACGACAGAAGGTGATCAGTCACAAAAGGAAGAAGAAGGAATACATTATTCTCAGAAATAACCACTCTTACACTAAATTGGAAACAAAATATGGTTGAAGTTTTAATCAACCACGTTTTGTGTTTTTATTTATGTTTCTCTCAATAGTGGTTAACGCATCACTGTTGGGTTATCTTTTATTTATTTTTCCAAAAGGTTTCTGATGATGCTTCATTGAGGTTATGTTTTAATGTTAATCAATATAATAAAAAAAAAACAATGAGGACTATTATTTCTTGCGTTCACAATGGCAGCTTGTTTGCACTAAAATATGAGACTCATTTGTATTCAATGGTAAATAACTAAATTGGTTTTAACGGTCAAAAGTGCCAGGTGTACGCTTCTGTAGTTTAAATTTTAAAACTAAACACAGTGCATAACGCTTTTTTTTTTTTTTAATATCAAATAGGGGCATAGCCCCCAAATAAACTACAGCAAAACAAAGAAAAAAGCAAACAAGAAAAAAACTACTAGCCCGGATCCATTTCCTTGCAATTGGAAGTGGCTAGGAGATCGAAATTAAGTAAGGGAGCATCTCCTAGAGGAGAAATTTTTTTTTTTATGGAAAAATAATAATTTCTGAAAATATATGATGGAAAAAAAAAATTTCGAGTAAGTTACTAAAAAGTGTTTGGTAGGCCAAATTCTTTTCAAAAATATTGAGTTAATTTGACTGATGTTATGTGATAATTTTCTCACCGCATGTGAATTTTTTTTTCACCTCATCAATGACAATCTTCCATGAAAATTCTATGTGGAAAAGTGAATCATAGGAAAAACAATTTCCCAGCCTTATTTATAATCCTCCTCCTGCCAAACATGGACAAATGACTTTCCCTACCCCACCCTCCCTTAAAGGGGAGCGTTTGGTATAAGAGATTTTTTTTTTTACCCGAAAAAAAAGATTTTTGAAAAAGATTTTTTTCCGGGTAAGTTATGAAAAAATGTTTGGTAGGCCAAAATTTTAATAGAAAAGTTGGGTTAATTTTACTGATGTTATGTTTGGTTGGTGGTAAAATATTGATGAGAATCTAAACCAAAATGACAAAATCATCCATCATTTTGAATCTTGAATATCTTCTCGGTCATCAAACGTTTGTTTTACCACTGCATTTGTCTCCCTCTCTCCAGGTTAATTCGTTTCTTTCTATCCGAACATATCCCCTCACCTCTCTTCGCTTTTCAGTTCGAGGTTGTTTTTTTAATCCTCCTGAGATGAGAAGATCTTGAGCACATCTCATGCTATCTCTAGAACATAAGGCATTTCTGATGAGAGATTCCTCAGATAGGTTGGTTTGTGAGAACACTAACTTGTTACGGTCTTGCCAAATCAACCAACAAATAATACCAAACGGAGTTGACCAACTACCTGCTGATATGTTTTTTCTAGGATCAGATATAAATTAATACGCAACCATTCCTTCGCACGAGAGGAGAAAAATCTATATCTATTTTTCCCCTGCAGCACTATATTCCACACCTTTGTAGCCCAAGGACAATCCCGAAAAATGTGAATGGTGGTTTCGGCATCCGTTAGACAATGAGGGAAAGTTGAGGATGAAGTCATGTGTCTTTTCATCCTATTTTCATTAGTTAGAAGGTTGATGCTCATGTGAAAATGTGTTTCCGTTTGCTGGGGAAAAAACAATATCATAGGTAATGTGGAATTTTTTTTTTTGCCAATGTGTAGTTCAAAATGAGATTGATGGGAAACAAATTATATCGGGATTTCTTTACTTCTACTTATACCAAACATGTTAAACAAATTTTCCCCACCCCACTTTCCTATCATTTCACCCAAAATCTCCATACCAAACAACCCCTAAGAGTTTCATATCAGGAGGCATAATCCGGAGTACTACAGACCATTACGCTTATGTAAGGCATATTTGGTCAGCCAATCAGTGCAATCATTTGCTTCTTTAGGGTACATATTTGGGGATTATTTTCCACTCTTGAGAGACGAGTGCTTGTATTTTAGCCATAAAATGAAGCTGACAAACTACATTGCTCCTATTAACAAGCATAACGCTTTTTTTCTTATGAGGTTTAACAAGAACGTCACACTTTAATTTTTTTAATCACCTAACTTAATCCAAAATGCAAAGTTGATTTCCTATTTACTTAATTGTTAAACCTCATACTAAAATGCAATATATATATATATATATATATATATATATATATATATGAGGTAGGATCCTTTGACACCTCATCTGATAGCCGTTAGATCAAAAAAGATCAACGACTCTGATTTGTAAGCATGTGACACCATTGATCTTTTTTGATCTAGCGACTATTAGATGAGGTGTCAAATTTCAAATTTGACACTGGTGTCAAAGGATCCTACCTCTCTATAATGTATCTTTTCAACCACCTCTACCATATGTTTTAGATTCAGGATAAGGACATGCGAATTCATTTGGTATGCTTCATGTAAATGTTCCTTCTTTTAAGTCCTTTCGGGGCCACAGTATGTCGTACTCTCATGCTTTAGTTCCATTTCCTTCATTGCAATTGTTTCCAAGTGTGGGAATAACATTAAATCAGGAAGAAGTTACTGAACCAGTTAATTACAATATAGTGATACTCTTTATTTAGATCATGAAAAACAAAAGGCTGTTAATGGTGGTTCTAGTTCTGGTAGTTCATCATGGCACATACTAGTTCTGGAAGCTACTCTATTGATAACTAAAGTTTATTACCATTTTAATTTGGAGCAACATTTCCATTTCCTACCATGTTCCCAATCTA